TTTGACGTTAATCCAATGAAACAAAGTGTAAAATTTTGTAAATGTCATAAAATTTTAAATATTTAACAAATCATAAAAAAATCAAACGATGACGTCATGGTGACTTTATTTCAGATTTTGCATACTTGTGACACCATCTACCTATCCACTAAGTTTCATGACGATTGGGCCTTCTCTTATATGTGTTTTCAAAAATGGCATTTTTGATAACGTCATCGTGACGTCACACTTTTTTCTAAATTTTGGGCAAACACGTATTACCTAACAAACATAATACAAAAAGAATTTTCAATTTTGCATGTTGCGTTCGTGAGACATATATGTTGAGAACTTAGTCCTGTAACTACGGTATGTTCTTGCATAATTTATGGACACCATAATTCAAACCTTATGAGAATGTAGTCACCTATTATATGTCACCATTTATTATAAACAGAACCACACATCCTTCCTTATACTTGAAACTTTACATGTCACATGTCACAAAAGGTTACCGAAACAGCCCTATGTTTGTCCACAAACATACTTGACATAAATCTAGTTGTGTTTTTTTTTCGTTGGAAGCAACAGAATTTGTCAAAATCTGAACAAGTGTGCGAACAACTAAATTGCTGAAATGTCAGCTCAGTTTCAGCTCAGTACTATATAGGCCTACATTTTGAGAAAACAGAGGAAACGTATGCACATGATTTTGTGTGGTCTCGTAACTGCATTCTGTAATTTTCGCTAACGCAGCGTAAAGGCGGGCACACATAAACCACATTCCAATGATTGTTTTCTTCCAAATGATATCATTTCAGATGTAATAAGTTCACGGGGCATATTAATCATATCTTCACTTTGAGCCAGGATTTAATCTCTGCCTTTAAGATTAAAGGTTTGTTTTGCTTCAAATGAAATCCAAAAAATAAACCAAATGCAAATGATCCTGCCTTTACTCTGGTATATGAAGTCTGTGTTTCTACAATGTCAACAAATTTTGGCGCGTTTTAACCGCCGGGAATACATAATCCCATTTATTTGCGAAGCAATCAACCAACTTGAATCTAAATTGCAAAATAAATTGCAATTGCGTGTGAGGGATTACCTTCATGCGCGAATGCTGCCGTTACCCCCCCCCCCCCCCCCTTCTCTGCTGAATAATCTCAAGTAGTGCAATAAAGAAAGCAAACGTATACATTTTCCGGGCCTTGAACTCCCAACGTTTCTTGTACTTCACACACTAAACATTGTGCCCACATAATTGACATTTTGGCCAAATTTCTTTCTTTCGAAAGGTTCACTCTTAGAAAAAAAGTACCCAATGTTGCGTTAAATTGTTACGGAGCTTTTACAGGGACATAGAGGGGAAAAAAAAATTGAAAACATCTTCGTTCGAAAGAAAAAAAATCTTCGTTCGAACGAAAAAAATCTTCGTTCGAACGAAAAAAATCTGCGTTCGAACGAAAAAAATCTTCGTTCGAACGAAACAAATCTTCGTTCGAACGAAAAAAATCTTCGTTCGAACGAAAAAAATCTTCGTTCGAACGAAAAAAAATCTGCGTTCGAACGAAAAAAATCTGCGTTCGAACGAAAAAAATCTGCGTTCGAACGAAAAAAATCTGCGTTCGAACGAAAAAAATCTGCGTTCGAACGAAAAAAAATCTGCGTTCGAACGAAAAAAATCTGCGTTCGAACGAAAAAAATCTGCGTTCGAACGAAAAAAATCTTCGTTCGAACGAACAAAACTTTTCGTTGTTTTCCCGAAAGATGTTTTGAACAATTAAGTATATCTACTAATGGCTTAAGCCGTGTTTGTTTGGGCTTTCTTTATGCATGAGCCTTACAGACTCGCAAATAAAGAAAAGCGGTCTTATAAACATGAAATTAAATCATTGGTTTTCGGTGACTTTTTGTGAGTTTGTAATTGGTATTTATTTTAAAGCCTAAAGCTTTTGCAAATTGACATTGCTGTTTACTTTAAAGTACTCGTGGTTTGGCTAAAGATTTTAACACTTGTGTAATAACAGGACCCTTTCAGGACCCTACTTTGCAAGAAAGGCCAGAAATATTGTGGTGCCAAATCACTATCGAACTAAACATGGGAGAGAAAAGCACCTGTTCATCATCGGGATTCCAAACCAAGACCAGTTTCATAATTGGGGTATAATTTGCAGGGGGCACTTGGGGGCCTGTTTTTCTTGGGGGGGGGGGGCACTCAATCAGTTATGTCACAGTTAAAACACTGACCAGGGGGACTACCACCAGATTGTTTCCTTCTCTAATTTCATAGTGCAGGCTGTGACGGCCCTTGCAAAGAGTCCTGGGTTTCAATCCTAATGAGAACCATATTTTTTTTTTATCTTATCCCATATTTGTTTCTTTCATTTCGATCAAGCACCAAACCAAATACTACATTCTGTATGTACATTCCACACTGCCAAACCTGGAGTGTTAAATATGACACAAACGGTGTTAATCTTGATTTTTTTCCCGTTATCTATATATGACGACACCATTGGTGTAAAATATAACCAATTCTTGGAATTAACTTTTAAATTAACCACGTCGTCAGCAATGGCGTCTGTGTCTCCGGCCGGCAGCCCAAGTACGCAGATTTTTTTCGTTCGAACGCAGATTTTTTTCGTTCGAACGCAGATTTTTTTCGTTCGAACGCAGATTTTTTTCGTTCGAACGCAGATTTTTTTTCGTTCGAACGCAGATTTTTTTCGTTCGAACGCAGATTTTTTTCGTTCGAACGCAGATTTTTTTCGTTCGAACGCAGATTTTTTTCGTTCGAACGCAGATTTTTTTTCGTTCGAACGCAGATTTTTTTCGTTCGAACGCAGATTTTTTTCGTTCGAACGCAGATTTTTTTCGTTCGAACGCAGATTTTTTTTCGTTCGAACGCAGATTTTTTTCGTTCGAACGCAGATTTTTTTCGTTCGAACGCAGATTTTTTTCGTTCGAACGCAGATTTTTTTCTTTCTAACGAAGATGTTTTCAATTTTTTTCCCCTCTATGTCCCTTTAAAAGCTCCGTAAATTGTACTCTTTGTGGTGGTAAAAAGGGAACATGGTCGTTGGCGGGGCTGCGTAAAACGTTAACCCAACATTGAGTCAAAATTCTTACCCAATGGTGTAGCGTCAAAATTGTACCCAACAAATGATCACCCTTTCTTTTGACCCCCAGGGGCAGGGGGTGGGGGGTTGGGGGCTCTGTCAACCTTTCTGCATATTTTATTAACCATTCTCCTCACCTGACGCCCCAAACATGGATGCTCTGCTAACAAATGGTGTTGTCATGCAGGCCAAGAGACTGACCGTGTTTGAATGTTGGAAATGTCATGTACATTTTGTACACGTACGATACACACAACACACATCGCGACGTTGCAATTCAATCATCGAACTATTTGTCACAAATATCCAATGTTGTAGGTACCTCATACTGTCCACGTTTCTCAATGACGTATTTTATCAATCAGTGCATCCTGAAAAGTAAATGATTACTTCTAAATAAAGGTATCGGCGATTTTGAATCCCACTCTCGCAGCACGTTCGTTAGTCCACTAACCGCCATGTTGAATGTTACTGTCGATTTCGAGAACGTTCTTTATGCAACATTTGGGCAATATTTTGGGGTAATATTTACCCGTCTGAGTGCACATATGCCTGTTTTGTTGTACGTTGCAAGGTCAAATGTGCTTTCTTACACTACGTTGTTTACAATTTGAATTTTTCGGTTGCACAATCACAGGGTCAAATTTCCCTTTAATAGGGTACTGGCAAAATTGTCACTAAACCTATAATTGGGTTAGAAAGTACTCAACGTTTGTATATGTACGCAACACATTTACTCAGCAAGTTTTGACACTTCTCTTTTAGAGTGTTGTACGGTCCATTTCCTAAGCAAGTTTTTACAAATTTGTTCTTTTTTATTTTTTTATTTTATCAGTAATAAACAACATTATTCGTTCTATGAGGTTCTAACAAATAACTCCCTGTCTAGAAAATATTGAGTTTAACGAAATGCAATCTTGCCTCAGAACACACGGTAATTACGGACATTTTCGACTTCTTGTGAATTTCAACCCAACCTTTTCTCGAAGTCTTTAATATCAATTGCAAGAACTTGTTACTATGTAGCTTTACAACATAATCTGAAACTTTGGTTTGAAAGACAAAGGCCTATGGGATCATTTATTTTCAGGTATTCTGTTTATTTTCAATAATAACGCCACTCAAAATCTTAAGAAGATCACGAAACACGATTTTGTCAATAGCACTCTTTATTCCAAAAGTCAGTCAATTAATTGATCGTTGGAAATTACCTCCATCTTGATTTCTTGTAAATCCAGCAAGCCAGACGGTATGGTCTCAGTAGTAAGAGATCCTATGCCTTTAAGTACCTTAATTTCCAGTTTTCTGTTACTATTTAAAGTCCTACATTATTACCACATTCAAAACCTATAGCCATTATTACTAATGAATTGTGTATAATGTGTAAATTAAGAAACGATAGAACGTTTTGACACAGAGTGAAAAACTAAATCTGGACCGTAGGTTGCCAGTAGAACTCGTTTCCCATGGAATATCTCATCTCTTTAAATTGTTCCCGTGACTCCACCAACCAAAAAACAAAACCTAGGAAATGTTTTTAAAAAGCAGAAACGGGACTGTACTATAATGAGGACTTTAGTAGGAAATAAAACACATAATGAGACTTAACCGAACTCTAAAAAAAAAAAGAGTCCGTGGGGAAGCGCATCTGAAGACGTTAATCCACCCTAGCTTACCTGGCATGACAACTTTCACGTAATTAATCGAGGAAACCCAATCAAAGCATCCGAGTAAATGATTTTTGTTTCCATGAATAAAAGATATCAGTAGAAAAAGCAATTCCGCTGAAATATTCCACTGTTAAAGTACACTGAGGTTATTTTCTAACAAGTGTTTGTCGCGACACACGTTTTTAATTGCATGAAAAAATACCCGGATTAAAAGCTCATTTTAACTTACCCCAGTCCAATTCCACCTCATTCTCAACTGATAGTCGTCAAGGATTCCTTCCAAGCTGTTCACGTGGTCTAGAGCTGTCTGTGCAACGGCTTGCAGTGCGCCCAGGAGCGGGCTGTTAGGGAAAGCGAAGAAAGCGCCCATGTAGACGGCCGTCTTAGTGCGGGGGTCATCCGTGGCATTTCCCCCGCTGTTTGAAGTGACGGCGCGCGCTAATAGGCCAACTAAGAGCGTAGCGAGGGACAGAGCGCGCGCCGCCTTAAGCTGACAGGCAACCATCGCTCTGCAAGTTTATTTTACCAAATGGTTGTCATGACTAATCTTCCTTGCAAAAATAACCAAGCTTTATATTGCCTCCAATTCGACACGTTGCTCTAATGTGTCATTTTGTTTTGCCCATCAGTGATATCAAACTAACTGTTTACATTGCACGTGTCAAAATGTACTTTCATGTTGGTAAGCTCGGATTGGGTCGAGGTAATTTTGGTGTCCATGGAAACAGCCAATGGAGATAAAGAGATGATGTGGACTTGTTCTATTGTGTTTATACAACTGACAATGTATTGGCCGTGGTGATGTGTTGTAAGAGACAAGTTGGGCTCGAAGCTGCCCCCGCATCACCTAGCTGATTCCATGGCCAAATTATCAGACTCTCACAGTGAGCCGCATGTCTTAAAGGGAAAATACATCATTTGCAAACATCAAAAAATAAAACTACCAAATAATTTTGAAATACCTTGCTGGACTGTTAGTGAATGACAGTGTAAAGCATCCTGTAAAATCATGGCACCTGGTATACTGTCATTTTCAAGAAAAGTGGTATTTTTGTATTAATTTCCAACGCTGATCGGCCGATCAGCGTTGGAAAAAAACTGGCTTTTTTTCAAATACTGGCCCCAATTGACCATCGCACTTGTTTGCAATCGATTACAAACCTATGAACGGGTACGAGCCAGCTAGACTGGTTCCCTGACCTTACAATTCCCCAATGTATGTAAACTGCTCTGTTTCTTCTTATATGGAGTCTGGGAACCAGACTACAGGAAAATGATTGTTTTTCTTGGTTTTTATAGCATTTTCGAACCCAAAACCTCAAAAAAGTCAGTGTAACTATATTTGCTATATATTTCCAACCCCCCAATTCCATCCATTTCTGAAAATTACAGTAAAAGCAAATGATGTATATTCCCTTTAACTATGTCTGGCAGAATCTCCAAGTGTCCTCAACAATAAATGACTATGTAACCTATTTAGCTCTAAGTAGGTCAAACGGAGAACTCTTAGGTAACTGCCATAACTGAACACTGTCTTCACACACAATTCTTGAAACGTGTGGGTTTTACCTGTGCTTTGTTCAGCGTTTACTTATAAATGTTTACTCTAAGTTTATGTCAAAAATGTGGTTGTTGTTGCTTTTATAAAAACAAAATTGTTATTGCAGACAAAACGCGTGCTGGGCATTTAGCTCAAAGGTATGGGAGATGTTATGTTGGTATAGTCAGCCCACATGGCAACTGAAGTGCATCATAGCTAGGTTATAGTCCATCCTGAAGTGCATCATAGGTTATAGTCCATCCATGGGTGGCATGGGTGGCTTGTGCGTAAAGCGCTCGCCTATCACCAAGGTGATCACGGTTCGAATCCTGGCCGTGGATCACATGTGAGTAGAGTTGTGCGTTGGTTCTTCTCCGGGCCCTCCGGTTTTCCTCCCTCCGGAAAAATCAAGCACTTTCGATATCAGGTTGTGCTCCGTGGTCATATATGGGTCGATGTGGCCGGCAGCCATAGGCGCCTTTACGTGCCAGCGGCCCGACCACGTTGTAGCCGCGTCCTTCGCAATTCAGCATACCAGCTGCGAGTAAGGATGATTAGCCTCCCAAATTATTATTATTATTATTACTCATGTGACCTATCAATGCGCTGTGCATGTGTGTTGTATACCAGCTCTGTTCTTACCATTACATGCCTGGTCGAGTCCACGCAATAAATGTACTATATCACCCAATGATTTCCATTACGTGCAACGGCACACAGGAACTATCAACAAGCATGATGATGTCCAGCCCCCACCCTTGTGTTGAATTCGTGAAAAATCCTGGCGAACGTCCAGCGCGGAGAGTCCGTTTGGCCACACGCCAGCAAAATCCCGCATACATCACTGGTCTGTACCCTCACTATCCATGTATACCCTAAGACAATTGTAGTAAAGTATCTTACCCAAGAACACTATCGCCATGCTCCCCGTCATGGTTCAAACCTCCATGACACATGATTGGGAACACCACGGCGGAGATATATAATCTGTAACGGTACATACTTTAAATCAAATCCGTTGAAGTGAGTTGTTTTCTCATGATCCCACTGGGGTCTTTGGACGACTGAACACTAGGTGGCGCTATAGCCGTTCATGGCCGAAACTATTGTGTGTGTGGCTGCCCCTGAATTACTTGGCTACGGCCGGTGTCATATGAAAATCAGACTCCTGTGAAAATCGGACTCCTTCACCCTTTTATTGGTTAAGCTCTCAGGCTCACGTGACCGGTCACCTCCTAATAATCTTCTATACTGGAGGTGGAATCAGCCGCTTAAAATTCCAGAGGCACACTTGTTACTATCGGTCGTATATAAGCCAAATATAATTTGGACGCATCCTGCAGAGTGCACAAATCCAAACATTTATGGCTGTTTCTATACCATTATAACTTAAAGTCAAATTCACATTTATAAATACTTTCTGGGCCACATCGCAAAATACGCGCTGCGCGCGCGTCAATCTCCATATAAGGAAATACTTAGCACTACGCACGCGAGGCACATGCCATTGACATGGCCAGAGGGGCGTTTCACAAAACATGAAGAAAACTTGATGAACAAAATCGTTGGAATTTTGTAAAGGTTTGCTTTTTCTTTACTTTTTGACCAAAAAGGTATTTATGATTGGGAATATAATTATATGTGCTTGGCCGGTTTTAAAAACTTACGTTTACAACCAGCTAGGGGCCTGGTCGTGGATAGTTCCGCATTTGCGAATGCGCAACCAGACCCCTTGCCGGAAATAAACGCACGTGTTTAAAATCGGCAAAGCATATATATTCCCTCAGTCCTGGCTGCACTTCTTTTGTGGTATCGCAGATGTCCAAACTTCGAATTATATACACCACTGCAGTTAGATAGACCTGTTGCAGTGCACCTTACTATTAATGTATAGTTTGTACGTATGGAAATTTGAAGAATATGCAGAGTTTCTATAGGGTGCAGTACAGACTGACGGAATTCTTCCTGAATTTTGTATTTATTCTATTCAAATATTTGAAAAATGTGAGTGGTCTCGTGGGGATGATAAAAAAAGCGAACAAGTTGTATGATTTTATTTTTTGTCACACTTGTTAAAAGCAACTTTCGCACGTGATTTAAGAGCTTCCATTTAGACAATTAGCTCCAATTTCTTCTTTAAAATTGGTCAAATATCAGCGATTCCGCCACCTGTTCTTTAAATTATATTTAATAAGCTCTTTGTCATTTTTCGACAAGCGAAGGCACACTAAAATCTGGGTCCCGATCTGCGGCTAATTCAGGCCGGCTCATGTTCATTAAACAGTGCAATTCGAAATCGAATATTAGATAAAGTCCATGTTGGAATAATCAAATTCTAAATTATTCCAAACTGCACAGTTCAAATGGAGTGAATTTTCTCTCTTTGCAAAAATGAGAGAACGTAGACATTTTCATTAACGTAAAAACTTCAAAAGCCTTGAAACACTCCTGAGAAAGTCCACTACAGAGATCAAACATGAATATACAAGACACATAGAAGCACTTTGTATTTGAGTATACCATTAAAGAATTAAACTCTATTGGCCTTTTTTTAATTTAATTATATTCTTACTGCCATGTGTCAAAATTTGAGTGTTTTATCAACATTTCTATGATATCGCGTCCCAAACATAAGTACCATGAATTATTGTTCCGTCACCGTCACTACTAACACTTTTTTCCTTCCGAGCGTGAAGATTTTATGCGCAATTGTGCTGAAAGTAGGCCTATACATGTAAAAACAATTCTGTAATTTTACACAGATTTGTTTACAGATTCAAGCTGAAATTGATTTGTACATCAGTTTTAATATTTAAAACGACACTTTTCAAGTTTGCATTTAAATGCGATATACGGTACTGCTAAAACTACGGGAAATCTGAACAAGAGTAGCGCTAATCGTTATTCTTGGAGCCTAAAAGTGACCGTCATTTTACTTTTTTTATTGGCCAGCCGATTAACAGAGAATTTACCGTAAAATCGCGGAGATTTCAAGTACAGCAATCGGCATTAATGTTACTTAAGTAAACAAAACGAGTAAATGTATATAACATAGTTGTGTTGTAATGACAACTTACGGATGAAGATCTGTTACAACTTTAGTGTAAAATTATTTTACACAAAATGTCAAAACAAACTTGTGACGTGAGGTAAATAGAAAAAGCAAACCAGCAAATTCCTGGCGACACTGGTTCAAAACAAATTCTGTAAAACTCTATAATATTTTTTACAGTGTAAGTCTATTTAATTTTAGGTACAATTATTAACTTCCCCGCGCTAGGAGCACCCTGAACACAAGCAATTATGTGGTCGGACATTCAGTAATACAAATAACATCGTTATTTACAGTGAAAAAGTGAGAGTGATTGTAATATTGTTAACAAAGGTTATGATGCTATTTTCAGCACTGTCTTTGTGTGTATAACTTTAATGTCATCAACTGGTTCTTTGTAAACGTGGGAAGGATTCTTCAGTCCGTGTCACATTGAAACACTGAGGTACAATCAGGTTTCATTAAACTGTGCATAATTTTATGCATGGGTCGAAAAAATAGTAATATACACATCGCCTTAACTTGGTTTTGCTTGCTTTCCGTCGGTAAAATTGTTAAGCAGATCACCTCAAAAAACCTAGGTTTACTACAAAATCACCTATTGGATTTGACTAGAAAACAGTCAGACTACAGCTAGGGTCAGGGTGCAGCGTTGACTATTTCAAGTCAAATTTAACTAGCGTGTTTTCAGAGTATCGAAGCAATCAGGTATTTGTTTTAAGATTTTAGGCTTTGCATGGTGGAGTATCAGTATCGGTATCGTTTCGGTTTGCGGTAACACCATGTGGTAATACTTACTGTCGCTTAGTAGATATTTTAGTTCTGAAAAGAACTTGTCCTGCTTATTAACAACTTTCGCTAAGTAGTTTTAGTTCTCCTGACGATGACTAGAGCAGGCTAGTCGAAGCCTTGAGACCAAAGACAAGTTCTTTTAGAACATAAAGCAGGACTGTTCTTATCAGAACTAAAACTACTTAGCGAAAGTTGATAATAAGCAGGACAAGTTCTTTTCAGAACTAAGTCTCAATCTGAGGAGAAGTTATTACCACATGGTGTTACCGCAAACCGAAACGAGGTATTTTCCTGTTGTCCAACCCCCCCCCCCCCCCCTCGTTTATCCATTGTCCCGAACTCATCTCCGGCACCCGCACAGCGCACGTCTGATGCAACACGTAAAGTACGACCAAGTTATTTTTTATTGCCAAATTTCCGCAAGTAGTAATTGCTTTTTGTTCTTCAAGAAGGCGATCAAAAGATCAAACCAAATTAAACGAAATTTGCAGTGTAATTGGAAAAA